TTCCAAAGGATTAATGTTTGAGGAAAAAAACTAGACAAATAAAATATTTTGGAGCACTTAGAAATAGTCACAGAAAAAGGATAAGAATTTATTGAATGACGAGTAACACGAGAATGAATTTTAGTAGATGGCACAGGAGACACCAGGTCCCCAGAGCAGTCCCCGTTATAGATTTTGTAGCAAAAAGAATGAAAAGCAACACTACAACAATGTGATAATGGTTGGAGGTTGGTTGCAAGAGCTGGTACAACTATGTTTACAATGCTTTTTTACACCATGTCTAAAAAAGAAAAGGCATTATTGAATTATTTAAAAAAGGCATTATCTAAAAAAGAATTATCTAATTAAAAAAATTAAGGCATTATCTAAAAAAATAAAGGCATTATCTAAAAAAAAAAGGCATCATCTAAAAAAGAATTATCTAATAAACAAAAAAAGAATTATCTAAAAAAGAATTGTCTAAAAAAGTCATCATCATAAAAAAGGCATTATCTAAAAAAGAAAAGGCGTTATGGAAGATCCGACCCAGACACAGTATTCCATACTTATCACTTATCAAACAGACAGGAATACATTTAATATGGAAATGTTAAAGCTACAAAAAGTATAATAAAATGTGGAGTTCTTTAAGGCTCAATCTTAAAACTGCTACTTTTTTCTCTTTATATAAATGATCTATCTCTCACTTCGAACTTATTAGATTTTATTTTGTTTGCGGATGCCTCCAATCTATTTTATTCTTATAGTGATATTAAAACCCTCTTTAAAGTAGTTAATGAAAAAGTAAACAAGATAAAACAATACTTTTTTTGTAATAAACTTTCACTTAACCTTAACAAAACTAAGTTTATCCTATTTCACAAATCAACCAAAACAGGAAACCTTTTTTTAAAATTAAAATTAATAGTATAAATATTACTAGACAAACTTTTTAGATATTATTTTAGACAAATTTTCATCACGGAGGAATCATAGATGCACTCTTGAAATAAATCTTTTAATAAATATTGCAGTCATATATAAACCAAAACCATTTTTAAATATGAGATCTTTAAAATGTTTTTATTTTACCTTTTGTAGCTATTTAACTAACGGCAATATTGTATTGGTATATATCCTTATTTTACAGATGAAAGCCATAAATAACCCACCAAGTTTTCAGAAAATAATTTTGTTACTCAAAAATATTTAAATTCTTATTTAATTCAGTACCGGGAACCGCTACATAATTAACAAAATAACATTAGCAGCCGTGGCGCAGTGGTTAGAGTTCTGGCTCAGAACCCAGAGGTCCGGGGTTCGACGGCAGCTCTAGCCCAACAAGCGACATTGGTACGGAAGGAGGCGTGAACTTCCTGTTAAATGCTCTCCCGCGGTGCTCTATGATAAGACCGTAAGGACTTCTGGGGCACCTAAATACATAAAAATAAATAAATAAATAAATAAATAACGATAACAGAAAGGCCGAATGAAACTGCTGTATTGTTCGTGAGTTCGACCCCTCTTGGAATTTGTTTTACCAATTTGGAATCCTTATTATAAAAAATTCATCAATAAAATAGAACAAGTACAACAAAGAGCAACAAGAATAAAATGTTTAAAAGGTATGAAATATGAGGAGCGAATATAAGAATATAATTTTCGGCTTTACATAGCAAATATTTTGAAAAGAAACGCAATATTACATATTTACGTAAATTTCTAAAATATATATAATATTTTGTTTAACAAAATATACTCTTAATTATTAGCTTGTAAAATATATTTCTTTTTTGTATAAAAATTAATTAATTAACTAAGGAAAATTAAATAAGATAAAAATTTTTAGTTAAATAATTGAAAATTAGTTTATTTAACATAAGTAAAGAACACACTAGAAACTAGTATTATACCTAGAACCTAATAGTTAACTATTAGGTTCCACTAATATTTATAACTAGTTTTAACTTATTAGTAGAAGTAAAAAACAAATAAAAACCTAGTAGTTATCCAATTCAAAAGTTTCCAAACAACTTTAAATGTGAAAAATCAAAATAATTTTATTTATTTTTTATTTGTATTTCATTTATTTACTTATAATTTTAGTTTTACCATAAATTAATTGTTTAATATTGTTTTTTATACGATTTATGTACCTTTTAGTTTTTATCTACCCAATGCTGTGTGCTAGAAGGTTAATAACGCAACTGCATGGTAGGCAGCTAAATATCTTTTTAAAATAAACTATTATTAAAACTATTTTTTTTATTTGGTTTTACTTTACTGAAAATTACTAAACATGTATATATATATATATATATATATATATATATATATATATATATATATATATATATATATATATATCATAACGCTCACCTAATTTAGACTTGCAAAAAAAGTGAGCAATTGCCATATAAATATGCTATAGTAGATATATATACAGATAACTTTATTTTAATGTCATTTTAGCAACGTATCAGACATTATAAGATCAATGCTTTTTTGAATGCTGCAATTTAGAATATCTGCATACTCGTGGTCACTATTAGTTGGTTTTCTCTCCAACAAATCATATTTTTTTATTAATTCAATTTCAGTCAGATATTTTTAATATTTCAGTCAGATATTTTTAATATTTCAGTCAGATATTTTTAATATTTCAGTCAGATATTTTTAATATTTCAGTCAGATATTTTTAATATTTCAGTCAGATATTTTTAATATTTCAGTCAGATATTTTTATTATTTCAGTCAGATATTTTTAATATTTCAGTCAGATATTTTTAATATTTCAGTCAGATATTTTTAATATTTCAGTCAGATATTTTTAATATTTCAGTCAGATATTTTTGTACTAGAGTAAGCAAAAGTAAAAAGAATCTAAAGCTTTTAAAATATGATTTTGATCTCTGATGTTGCAGTTTGCATTTAAACGTTGAACGCTACTTCACATCAAAAGTTGTTTATATGTGGCTGTGAGTTGTAGACATTTGATATTGTTATTAAACATTCTTGCAAATCTCACAGCTATATTTTTTTTTTATTATTTATTTTTTTATTTTTCAATTTTTTGCCGTAGAAAGTTACAATTTATAAAATAACATAAATAATAAATTAAATGGCTGGAGCAAGAAGAAGACATCAGTTTGTCTTATCACCGAGCCTTATAGTGACTTAATTACAGGTCGTTTTTTACAACAAAATATAAAAAATCGTGATAAATTGTTTGTAATAAAATATGTAAAAATGTGAAAAAATACGTTTTACAATTGATATAACTGTTTATATATAAATTAGTTTAGTAAAATAAATTTAGAACAAGTAAAAGTTAAAACAATGATATTTCAAAGAGGCGTTTTGAATATTTGTATATTAAAAATTTAATAAATACATTTTTTTCAAATAAATGTATTTTTATATAAATTTATATCACCGATTGTATTGAGTGATTATCCTTTAAGTTATAAGAAATGATTATTTACTTTTTATTTGTTTTAAAAGTTATTATAAATAACTATAATTCAGACCTGGTTTTTTTTTTACCAATAAAAGTGACACTTTTTAATATTTTAATCATATAATTTATGCAATAATAGCATTTAAGTATAATATAAATAGAAGAAGCCCCTGAGTTTTTGTGTACTTACAGCACTCAATTAATAGTTCATGCAGCATTAGTACAAATTGGTATCTTGCTTAAAAAATATAAAGTATACAATTGTAGGTAGACATGATTGCTGCTGTTTACCATGCTGTTATGAATGGTAAACATCAGCAATTATTAACCTTCTAGCTTACAGCATTGGGTTCTTATTTAATAAATTATACATAAAACTAAAATTGTAAATTTCACTAATGCCATTTAATAATAAATTCAATTATTAAAAATTTTTTTTGTTTTTCTAATCATTATAAAATTAATTTGTTTGTTTATTTTGTTGCTTTTTTTTTACAAATGTATAGTCTTATTTCATTATTTTCTTTTGTATTTTGATTAAGTAAAATAGAATGTATATCGGTTTTACCGCTAAGAACTAAAATCGCCGCCATCTTGGAAGGCCAAATTTGGCTTTAACTTTTTTCGGAAAAAACAATAGAATCCGCTATCCAGTTATATTTTGAGATCAGTGCCTCCAACAAACAAATTATATCCAAAAGAGGTTGCACAAACAAAATATTCGTATTTCGGAAGCAAAAACGTATTACTTTACTAATAGGATTGTTAATAAATGGAAGTCTAACCTATGACGTTGTTAACTCTGTTAATTTAAATACTTTAAAAAATAAACTCGAGGAACAGAGCAATTGTAAATAAAAATTGAATTGTTATTATTTCGTTATATCACGAGTTTCATTTGTTTTTTTCATTTTACTGCTAAAGTCACGCGAATACAGTTGCGTGACTCACATATTTTCAAATGTACAGTTACATTATTGTTATTATTATCATTGCTATATTGTTAATATTAAAAAAAAAACATTTCCGCAATTCAAATCAAAATTAAGACGTTATTTAGTACTTACTGAGTTTAGTTTAGTAGATTTTCTTTGTCACTTTTAGAAGTTATTAAACTAAATTAGCACCATAAATCATTTAACAAAAAGAGCTAAGTAAATATTAAGAACTTCAAAGTCTTTATCAGTCATTGAAAATATTTATTTTTGAAGTTACCGCAATTTACTTATATATATGTTATGATATTGTTATAAAAATTTTATTATTTCAATTTCGAATTACGTTCAGTTTATAACCAAAAACAAAAATTTTGTAGTTTTTATTATTATTTTATTCATTTTTTTTTTAACTATTTTATTACCTTTTTTGTTTCATAACATCTTTATATTGTCGTTTATTTTAAATGCTGTTGCTTATATATTTTACGGATATTTAGAAGCGTTACAATTGGGGCTCGGTGATAAGGCTAATTTATGCCTACTTCCTGCTCCAGCCAATTATATATTTTTTATATTGTTGTACATTGTAAACATTTTTAAACGGCGAAATAAACAAACTAAACTAAAAATATTCTTGTTTCATTTATTTCTTGTATTTTTCAGCGGCTCTTAGTGTCAGAGCGACTTGATCTTTCACGAATATCTGCTATTGAAATTTTTTTATGTTACAAAATTATATTTTTTATCTAACAATACTTTTATCTAACATATTTTATACCTGAAAGTTATTAGAAATAAATGAAAGATCAACAAAAAAATATTTTTATTTATTTATTACAAAAAAAAGTTTCACACAATCATTCACTTTTCTCATTTATTTTTGCTTTTACTTTTTGCCGGTTTGGTAAGCTTTTATCATGCGTGGTATATATGGAATTAACGGTTTGACACGAATTCGACGGATGATCCGGCGCCATCTTCGTGCTCTTGGATCATTAACTTCTGTAAAATAGTTTATTTAAAATTATATATATATATATATATATATATATATATATATATATATATATATATATATATATATATATATATATATATATATATATATATATATATATATATATATATATATATATATATATATATATATATATATATATATATATATATAAAGGAAAAAACACAAAGTAACTAACAGTTTTATTTGTGTTAATAAGGATGTAGATATATAAATAATATATATAATGCATCCTGGTGGATCTAAAAATGGTTAATGGTCCATCAGTTGATCCAGTCAGAAACATGGAAAATGTTTCCATCAAATTTTTGGATAAATGATTGCTTGAATTGAAACAATGTGTGATTGAACTTAAATTTAAAGTTAAATGTCTTCGTAGTGAAAATGCAAAGAAGAAGAATATTATAAGCAAACTAAATGACAAAATTACCAAACTGGAAAGCTTAACAGTAAAATGTACCACTCAATCAACGCGACCTTCATATCTAGATATGGTCTTATCGTTCATCAAACCTGGCAACCCCCAAAATCTTGCAATTATAAAAGCAGTATCAGAAAATTCAAAAATTAGCAAAAATAAGTCCAAAAATGAACTAAGAGAGTTTAAAATATTTTGCATTCACTTAGTCTCAATGCCAATGTCAAAGTATTTAGTTCAAACCGAAAAATAAATGTAAAAACACAGCCGCAACCAACAGTTATAGTTGAATTTGAAAATAACAATGCGCGCAACCAAGAAAAACAATTGCAGCTGAAAATAACAAACGCAGCTAAAAAACAATTGCACTGAAAATAACGATTGCAGCTGCCAAATACCTTTGTAATGGTATATATAAAAACAACACACAACCTGAGAAAACTATAGCTGAACAACCTGAGTTTGTTTAGTAATTTAAAGAAATACAGGAGGCTAATAAAGATCTACGCAAAAATGGCATTCTTGATCAGCCCTTTAGATTTGTCATCCGCGGTGACCGGGTCCGCTGCGTTGATGTCTCACAGACCCGTTTATATAAGGGAAAAGGAAAACATCCATTCATTGATACCAAAACAGATGCTGATGCCCGAAAACCTTATTAATTACAAAACTTTTAGCAAAAATTCAACAGTAAACAATAAAAAGCAATCTTTTATAAATTCTATCAATAATAATAATAACTTCTCAAATGATAATCACTCGCTCAAGCATAGATGTCCTTATACAAATTATATATCTTTAAGCAAAGAAAAGTTATTTGAACTATCTGATATTGCTCACTCTACATCTATAGACATTATATTTATTACTGAAACATGGTTTAATGAAATATCATCTCCGAGTATAAGAAATTATGATCTTTTCAGACATGACAGAGATAGTCATGGAGGAGGAGTTGCTATTTATTCAAGAACTTGCCTAAAATTAATTGAGTTTTTTTTTGTTAAATTCATTCTTGCTTTACTTTTAAACATTCTAAACAACTATAGTTTTCACTCCCAATCAGTAAAAGTAACAAGTTGCTGATTGTTTGCATATACCACCCACCAAAAATGATGATAAAAACTGCTAATGAAATTAATAAGTGTATAACTTTAGCTAAAAAATCTATTGATAGTTACCATTTTTTGGGACTATTACTCATAGGCGATTTTAATTATTCCAAAATTGTTTTGAATGATGGCTATTCGACAAACCTCAAAGGACCAAAAAAACCAATTGACACAAAAGCAAACTTTATTGACACACTCAATAATTCGTTTTTATATCAATGCATACTCTCCAAAATTTATATTTAAGAAAGATAAATGCATTAACAAATTGGATCTTGTTATAACAGACTCTCCAGACTTAGTAAGTAATAAACCTTTGATCTGCTTTTTAGATATGCAACACAAGGTCACTTATTGCTCAAATGGAATCTCATCATTGAAAAATCAAATTACTTAACCCGATTTGCTTTCTCAAAATTATGTTATAAAAAAGGTAACTATGCAAAACTAAATGAAGCTTTAAATAGTTATGATTGGATTGCTGTGTTTGAAATTTTAAGTATTAGTGATTCCTACAAAAATTGGACAGATATATCATAAACTATGTGCTAAATTCATAACTCCTATATCAAAACAGACAAAAAAGAAAACATCAACCTTGGATCACAATTGATAATATAAAGTTAAGTAAAACAAAAAAGCAACTATGGTGCAAAAATAGAAATACCAAGTGGAAATTCCATATCTAGTTAATCTTTATAATACAGTTTGTAGTCAAATCAAAAAGTATACTCGTTCAGCAATTAGAATCTTTGAAGAAGATTTAGCAAACGATAAATGCAATCCAAAAAGACTTTTCAACTATATTAGTTCTAAACTTTCATTATCAAGCTCTCTTAATGCATTGATCACTGAATCAGATATTAGCATAAAGAAAGTGGATATAGCAAATGTACTAAATTTGCAATATCAATCTGATTTCACAACCGGAAATGTAAACACACTACCGCATTTCCCAAACAGAACATCAAACACAATCAGTTCATTAAAAATAGACCAATCTCTAGTAGAATCAAATTTACTCAAATTAGATCCAAACAAAATATTTGGCACTGACTGCGTAAGTCCATTTCTACAAAAGTGTGAAAAATCATTAATCAAATCATTATTGCTTATATTTCAACATTCAATTGATCAATCTGAGTTACCAGAGTCCTGGTTAGAATCCAATATTGTTCCATTATATAAGAAAGGCTGCAAATTAGGTCTAGCAAATTATCGACCAGTCTCCCTCACTTCTGTTACATGTAAAATTCTTGAGAAAATAGTTAGAGATAATATCACAGAACATTTATCTCATAAAAATTTTATATCTACCTGTCAACACGGATTTGTCACAAATAAATCAAGTGTCACAAATCTTTTGGAAACTATGGATTTTATAACCTATGCAAAATCAAATAAAAAATCGGCAGATGTTATATTCCTTGATTATGCTAAAGCTTTCGATAAAGTACCGCATAAACCTTTATTATTTAAACTAAAAAAATACGGAACTGTTGGTAAACTTTCTTCTTGGAAAAGATCATAACGTGTTGTTTTCGGAGATACAATATCTCATTGGGTTCCTGTCACTAGTGGTGCTCCTCAGGATTCTGTTTTGGGACCTACTTTATTTATTATATACGTTATTGATCTGCCTGATAAAATAAACAACGTTTGTAAAATGTACGCTGATAACACAAAGATACTTGCCTCAATTGAAAGCAAAAAAACCATAAACGACTGCAGAGTGATTTTAATTGGATTGCAGAATGGACAAGAATATGGCAAATGCAACTAAATGAAAGCAAGTGTAAAGTAATGCATATTCTAGGGAAATCTAATTTACTAAAATTTTATTACTATTTAAATGACCTTAGCACACACGAGAGAATTAAGCTTGAAGTAACATCAACTAAACAAGATTTAGGTATAGTATTGCCATCTGATCTTAAATTTCATGATCAAGTCACACAAGCATCATATAAAGCTAATCGAATGCTTGGAATTCTAAAAAATATATTTATATCTAGAAATGTTACTATATGGAGTAAACTTTATAAAGTTTATGTGCGACTGCATTTAAAGTATGCAGTGTCAATATGGTCGCTTTATTTAAAAAAAGTATTTAAATTTTAGAGAAAATTTAAAAACGTGCTCCAAAGATACCACACAATCTTCATAACCTTAATTACTCTATTCGCTGTTCCGCAATTAAATGCTCAAAAGAAATTAAATGCTCACCAAAAAATCTCTAGAAAAGAGACGCCAACGGGGAAACCTAATTCAAAAATACAAACTAGAAAATTTTTAAGATAAAGAACTTATGAAGGTTGTTCCACAAGCTGACCAACGTTTACAATACCACAGAGAAATCATAAAAAACTGTGCTCAACGGTACCATTTCTTTAACAATAGAGTTGCTTTGATTTAGAATTCACTACCAGATGATGTTGTTATGCAGCAAAGAGCAAACTCTTTTAAAAATAGCTTGGACAAATACATTGAACAAAATATAAACTTAATAATCTAACGAAACTGCAAAATGAAAATGCAGTCCTGAAGTTACTAAAGCTATTTCATTCTTTGGTGTTTGACGTTGTTGTCTGGAAAAGATGAGATACTTTTCACAAAAAATGACAATAAAACTTTTTTTTTGTGTGTGTAACTTAGGTTACTAATACTAATACTAATATATATAAATATGAATATAAATATATATATATATATATATATATATATATATATATATATATATATATATATATATATTTACAGGGTCGGACTGGCATAGGGGGCCAGGGGGATACATAGATGGGGACCTTATGGTTGCGAAACATTTAGCAAAAATAAGTTAAACCCTTGATCACGTATTTGTTATAACGGTATATGAAATTTCTAATTATGCAAATACAAATTTCCATATCTTTGGCCTTGTACTCATTTTATCATTTTATTCGACACGTAAAAAAAAATCCATACGCAAGGTTTTAAAATATATCAATTATATAATGCGGCGTCGCGCCACTTTATTTTCTGCACATTATTGCCATGCTAATAGGGATTTACGGTTATGGTAACCAAATACAATTTGTATTTTATTGTTTACAGCACATAGCCATTAACACAAAATTAACAGAATACAATGTTATACAGTTTATTTTATTACCATAAAACTTTTTTAAATTACAAAATTTGATGTTGTTTTTTTTGTATAAAATTAATTTTTCAATTTCTTCTTTAAGATAATTTACTCTACCACTAATAATTAATAGTATAAATATGACTGCTTTACAATGTCTTTGTATGTTTTATTAAACAGTTAATATTTTAATCGAGGAAATAAGCATATTTATTGCATTGTCTTTGCAAAATCGATGCATGTTAACAATAATTAGTTATTATTAATTTGTGTTTTTGTGTATTTTATTTATGTACTTATAGTGAGGCCCAGGACCATCAGACATAGCAGGGGCCTAGGGGAAACCCCCAACCTCCCTCGCCAGTTGGACCCACAAATATATATATATATATATATATATATATATATATATATATATATATATATATATATATATATATATATATATATATATATATATATATATATATATATATATATATATATAAATAAATCACCTTGAGCGTTGTCATCGAACTCATCATTTTCCTCTTCAAGATCGTCTAAAATTTCCTTTTCAACTTCATTTTTGATTTCTTCTTTTATATCTTCATAGCCTACAGAATGATAAAGTACTAATTAATTTATAACTATTAAATATATATAAATAAACAAAAATAAAAGTTATATAAAATAATTTTTTATATATATACAATATGTTAATATAAATATAATATAATTGTATAACAATTATGTATAATATAATAAAAAAAATGATACAACAATATATATATATATATATATATATATATATATATATATATATATATATATATATATATATATATATATATATATATATATATATATATATATATATATATATATATATGTATATATACACATTTATATATACATTTTATTTGTTAATTTTTTTTATTTTAATTAACAAAAAAATTTATTTTGTCACTTACTTCTGGCGTATGTCAGCGCAACTAGCACCACAAATAAAATTAAAGTCGCTGACTTCATTTTTTAGACTGCCTTTATAAATTTAAAAATTTGGTCCTTTTATAGCAATGAAATTTAAGAACATCGCGTGACTTTTTCACATAGGTAAAATAAATAAGCTGAGAAACTTAATTCCGAGAATATTACAAAATATGACAAATTTCTCCTAAAGATAGTTAGAACCAGGCCTCTTTCACAGAACACTTTTGTTTAAAAGTTTTTAGAATATTTACATTAGGGTTTTATTTTCAAAATAAAACCTGCTGTATTTTACTTTTTTACATTGCAATGATAGGGTAAAGCTCAGGAGTTAAGTGATTTTGTCAAAATTAAATTACATTGCAATGATAGGGTAAAGCTCAGGAGTTAAGTGATTTTATCAAAATTAAATTACATTGCAATGATAGGGTAAAGCTCAGGAGTTAAGTGATTTTATCAAAATTAAATTACATTGCAATGATAGGGTAAAGCTCAGAAGTTAAGTGATTTTATCAAAATTAAATTACATTGCAATGATAGGGTAAAGCTCAGGAGTTAAGTGATTTTATCAAAATTAAATTACATTGCAATGATAGGGTAAAGCTCAGGAGTTAAGTGATTTTATCAAAATTAAATTACATTGCAATGATAGGGTAAAGCTCAGGAGTTAAGTGATTTTATCAAAATTAAATTACATTGCAATGATAGGGTAAAGCTCAGGAGTTAAGTGATTTTATCAAAATTAAATTACATTGCAATGATAGGGTAAAGCTCAGGAGTTAAGTGATTTTATCAAAATTAAATTACATTGCAATGATAGGGTAAAGCTCAGGAGTTAAGTGATTTTATCAAAATTAAATTACATTGCAATGATAGGGTAAAGCTCAGGAGTTAAGTGATTTTATCAAAATTAAATAATTAGCAAATGCAACAAAAGTTGCGTTTGCTATTTATTTAAAAATCCATTTAGGATGATATGTAAAAAAGATATTTCTCTACCTTAGAAAAATGAGAATTTTGGTTTCTTTTAATATTGTCTTTACTGAACTCTCAAATCACTAATAATATATGTAATTAAAAAATCAAACAGTCATTTATTATATTACTAAACCCCTTGATAAATTCTCCATATTTTTCTAATAATTTGCTGTTAACAAATAATTATTGAGTTATTATACAAAAACTCAAAACAAAAATGCCGAATTAAAATTAAAACATTTATCAACAATGTCGTCTTTTTGGATCGAATGAAATCGTCTCTTGGTTGCTCCTTAAAACAAAAGTTTTGAAAATAGACTTGCAATTTCCAAAATTTTTTTTTTAAATACAAAAAGGTTTTATACAATTGTACATGTAAAACTAATGACGCAAAAAGTAATATTCCCATTATTAAAATGAAAGTAAATATAATTTTGAAACTTTAAAAGTTTTCTACTGCAAAACAGGCAACTTAAATTTTGACGGGCAAGTTCTAATCTTAATAAGTATATTTTATGATTAAAAACAAACTAGATATATATTTTATGAGCTGAAACACCGTCACATTAGATTTCTAAGTTTCTATCGGATATTTTTTAATGTTGTAAAAATAGATCTTTTAGTTTTTAATTTTTTAAAACGTTTTACTGATAATCTCAATAAACTTTAGGTCGTTTATGTTTATGTTAAACTTTATTACATAGGTTTTTATTAAACTTTATTACTTATATACCTTTTAAATTTGTTTAGAATTTATTGGTTGCTACATATTTGTAACATAAAAAAAAGACAAGTTTTGTAACATAAAAAAACATCCATTTAAATCTCATGTTTTTTTAATGCTTCGTTTTTAAACTATTTCAAGCTAAATGCTTAGAATGTACTCGAAATTTAAATTCTTAAAAACTTATTGGAGAGTCACTTATTAGAAATAAATAAAGCGAAAGTTAGTTTGTAAGAGGACACCGTTGTTTTAAATATTTTCTGTCAAAAACTCGAAATATGATATTGCTTTCTTTTGATTCTGGTGTTTATTTACTTAAACTATTTTGATTTTTTAGTCTTTTGGAAAATATTTATAAATAGAAATGACTTAAAAAATCAAATAAGTTCAAAAGTTTAAATATTATATTTAATAAAAATTTTAAATAATATAATAAAATTTAATAAAAATTATAATTTAATAAAAAGTTAGTTATTAATAAATTACCAATAAATTTATACTATTTCAATTAAATTTTAAAGTTATTAAAAGAAGAAGGAATACTACCCAATAATAAAAATAAAACAAAAAATATACGTGACTATTCTCACATACAAGATTTGAAACTTGCGTTACGCTTTTTTAAGATTTGAAGCTCCACTTGCGTTACGCTTCGGAATTTTTATGCATCAAGCTTTGTATTTTCATTTAATAAAAGTTTTTGATTATTTTGCTCAAGTTTTAGAAGTTTTATATTTGATTTTTATTGTTTCAATTAAAAATGTATAAAATATTCAAATAAAGATGGAAAAGCACGCAGTAATAAAATTGTAGGTAAAATAATATATATATATATATATATATATATATATATATATATATATATATATATATATATATATATATATATATATATATATATATATATATATATATATATATATGTATATATATATATATATATATATATATATATATATATATATATATATATATATATATATATATATATATATATATATATATATATATATATATGACTATACCCACATGAAATGCGTAAACAGCGTGTCTGCCAATATTTTATAGTGGGTTTCTCTGACTTTTTCCTGATCTTCTACCTGTTTTCTCTGAGTTAATTTAAAGTTACCTGAAATCAACTTCACAAAAATTGACCAAGATTTGTTTAGAAAAATGTTCTTCAACTGCAAAAATATAAATAATAATCAACCCACAGTTAAATAATAATCGCTGGTTCATAGTAACCGGGGGCAGCAGGGGCATTTGCCCACCAATAATTTTTCAAATAAATAATTTTGAAAAAATTTACTGGAAAAGTGACTAAAAACAATAAAAAAGGTCCTTAAAACTACTTCGGGTAACCACAATTAAATAATAATCAACCCACATTAAATGTATCAAGAAAAGTTCATAAAACCAAAAATAACATTTTATATTACATGTACTATATACAGCTTATTTAAGTTATGTAAGTTTAATGAAGAGCCATTTTCCTTGATTTCTCCCTGATTTTTCTAAATTTTAACTTAATTTCCCTGACAATCCCAATTTTTTTTGCAGATATCTGAATTCTATAACTTTTCCGTATTTCACATGATTTTCCTGATCTGGCAGACAACCTGGTAAAGTACAATTTGTTATAAGCTTTTGTTTCGCTCTCCAGGTGAATAAAAATGAGCAACTGCTTTTACTCAGTGATTGATCAGCTTAAAGTAAATATTGATTTTAAATAAAGATTTAGCAAAATTGCTGAAGATTTTATTTACGTAAAGCTGACGAGTTACTAAGTAGAAGCAATTGCTTATTTTTATTCACCTGGCCTAATGTCTCAAATTATTTTGGTTAAGTTTTGTGCTATTCTAAAAATTCCTAAAAGTACATGACTATTGTTGTTTTTATTACTGCTATTATAAATATGATAGTTATTATCATTATCATTATTACTTTTATTATTATCAGGGCCGGATAAAGTCGTTTTTAGGCATGAGGCAGTAAATATTGAAGAACCTTATATGGCTTACCTGAAAATGCCAAGTGGAAGGGAAGGTTTGCCAAAAAACCTGGCTGCAGGGTGCGCACCTTATATAGAAGGGGCCTCCTGGCAACCTCCACAAAAGTATTTCAACTTGCATTCATAAAAAGAACACTACCTAGCTATGTTTTTTGAGCGTTGTTTAGCATTTTTTGGCCCAGACAGTCATATATAAGTAAACCGACAAAAAGTCTTTTATCGTGACTTATAAAAAGTAACTGTTGAGCTTTAGAAATACTTCTATTCGGACCGTGAAGTATGCATATCACATTGACAATGTCATAACTTGTAACAAAGGGAAGTAAACGCTAACAAGTGAAAAAAATATCAAAAAAAGTAAGCGAAAAATAAAAATAAAAAACATTTTAAATACATAAATACTAATTCTTTAACTCTATGTTTATTACTGTGAACTGACAAATTCATAAGACAATATTGTTTTATTATGCGAATATTGTTTTAATATAATTTCCAGGAGATAGATTATTGTGCGGTGAAAATTTAGCAAACAGAGATGTTAACTACATGTAAGCCCTTTATACAGTCTAACATTACAAAAGCATCAATAGCAATATTTATGTAGTATTGGAATACGATAGCATTCAGCAATATAAACAGTCATATATCATTTTTAGTATGGTTGATGGTGTAAAATAATTAGTTGAAACTTGAATATTCATACTTTTTTTCTTTTGAATGAATAAAAAATAACAATAGGTTTAATAATAACTTATGTGCTGTTAACTTAATCGATTAACATTAAAATAGTCTTTTATATATTGACTTTTCTGGTATTTTATGAGGGAAACTTCTTGATCACGTGCACGTGCCCTCCACCCGGCGTTGTCGGCCCTGTTTCTCCAGTACAGTTTTTGTAACTATCAAATTATTTTTAACTAGAAATGTGCACATTTTTAGTTCAACACAATCAATTTATTAGGCAGTGACATTTTGGCAAACTGAAAAGTGAAGTGAATAAATTTATCATAACAATTAGCTTCAACATCTTCAATGTTTCGCATGCATACATATTTCGCGAAAAACGATCTCTCAGACCATTTTTACTATCACTATCTATAGTATCAGATAAGGTAGACATATAAGTGATTTTAAAACCACTATCAAACGATTCCATTCAGACGTGGAGGCAGAAAAAAAAAGTTAATTTACAAAGTCAAAAAAACGTAACAACCTCGTAATAATATCCTGGACCACATACAGGGCCGGCGCGAGTAGGTGTCACGCGGGAGGGGCGGGGTTCCATTACAACTTTTGTCGACTAATAAAAAAAAAAATTATGTCTAAATTTACCGACTAACTTATCGAAAGGGTCTACATTTGCCGACTAACTACACCTTTTCAAGATGTAAATGAGAACATGAAAGTTGTAATTAAGAAGTCGTAATATGTA